GGTAGCTAAAGGCGCTGGACTCCCATATGGCCAAATGAGGTTTGAGTCCTGGACCTAGTGGCTTACTCGCTCTCTCTCTGTCTCTCACTGGTCAAAATGAAGAATAATGATAATAAGTAAGTAATTCTTTAAAGAAAAAAAAAGGTGAAAACCACATAGTTTTTCATTAGCGTTTTCCATGAATTTACTGAAGACTTTGTATTCCAGGAGACCATGGATCTCATAAGAGATAATTATTAAAATAATATAAAATGTTTGTAGTTTTCTATACACAAGTAAATTGGTATCTTTTATTATCCATTTTTTGTTTTGTTTTATTTATTTATCTTTGCTATAGGATGTGTGTTCACTAGAGAGATACAGAGAGAGAGAGAGAGAAATCGCTCCTAAGGGGGATGGCTGCATTGCAATCCTTTCGCCTCCATTCTCCTCTTGAAATTTTGGGCATGCATGCACATGTGCCTGGTATATTTTCCAAGCCACCAGGTCCAGGACTCAAACCACGCACTTGACCATGTAGGATCCAACTGCTTTAACCACTACACCACCTGGCTGGCCCTTATCTGTTTTTTTAAACTATATTAAAAATCCAAAATTCCCAAAGGGAACACAACTAACTCTGCAGGCCACTCCTGCCCCTCCCTGGCATCCCTCCACCTTCCACCTGTCTCATCAGGTTACAGGGGCCCAGTCCGGAGGCCAACAGCAGAACCAGGATTCCTGGACATTGAGCAAGAGGCAGGGCCCATGCTTCATCCAGGGCAGCACCAGCACCCAGCCCCGGGCCTAGATGCAGTTCCGTGATTGCAGGGTCTAGGTGGGAGGCCTCCTTCCCCTGTCTCCCACAGCTCCTTAGCGCTCAGTCCTTTCCCCTCCTCTCTCCTCAGCTCTCCCGCCTCATGCATCTCTCTCTTCGCCTTGCATTTCCAATCCTTACCTTCAGTGTCACTGGCTGGAATGGCCTTCAGGACCAGCCCAGCGGCCCGCAGGGAAATGGTCACCTCTCGGGGCCGGTGACTGAGCAGACCCTGCAGAGGGGGATTGAGGATAAGACAGTGCATCCACGGTTGCCTCTCTCTCCTGGTTTCCACCCTGCTCTGACAGTCTGCCCGTGTTCCTCATGGCCAATAAGGGGCCGCAGATGAAGGCTAAAGTATCCCTAGCCCCAGAGACCGTGTCCAGCCTTCCAGACGCATAGCAGTACATCTCCAGTGAGACCGGGGCAGGCATCTGGCCAGCTGGTGAGGATGATATCTTTAGGCTGTGAGACAGCCTTAAATCAGGTCACCTTCTTGTCTACACATAAGGTCCACTTTAACCCACCCATCCCTGCAAAATTCTCCAAAGGCTTGGAAACCTGGCGGGGGGAGGGGCAGAGAGGCAGCCTAAAGAAAAGAAAGAGGAGGAAGGTTCCTTTGGCTCTGTGTGACTCCCTGGATCCCCACGTGGCCCCCAGACCTGCTTCCATCCAGCCTTGCCTCCTGGCCCTGCCCACACACACTGACCTTCTGGTAGCACAAGGAGAGCTCAGCGCCTGGACCCTCGGCCACGCCTCGCCTCTTGGATGAAAAACCATCTGAGGAAGATAAGAGGTTTCAGGGGGGAGACTCCCAGCCTCCCTGCTCTGGCGCCCCACCTCACCGAGGGCCTGGCAGGGCTGCCGGACTTACCAGAGCAGCCCTGCTCTTCAGCAGAGGTTGGGATAGGGCACACTGGAAGGGTGTGAGGTCTGGTCTCATTAGGTGAGAGACGGGAGGAAGAGTTTTGGGGGGAAACTGAGTCAGGGCAAGCTTTGGCAAAAGGGAAGTAGGCGCTCACCCTTGAGGAGCTTGGACTCTTGGATCTTCACTTTCAGCTCAGAGAGGAAGATGTCCTCTGTAGGGTTTTGGCTCAGGTCATTGAAGATCTGGAGGGAGAGGGGGAGGGAGGAAGGTAGGGAGGAGGCTAGGCAGCGCCCCTCTGACCCTGCAGACTGAGGATGTGGATGGCTGGAAGGGCATGTGAAGCCAGGCAGGTGCCCCCCACCCCACTCCCCTCACTCCCGCCAGCGCGAGATTCCGAGCTGCATTCAAGGAGTCCCTGGGTCTGCACCTATCTGTAGCGATGAAGGGGCTTCATAAAGTTGTGGAAAATGAGTATTATGAAAACACGATGCATGGACTTCGGAATGTTTTTTGCACTGAAATCAACGTGGACTTCAATCCCATATTCCCATGAACTTTTTCTGAAATTCTCTTCATATCACAATATAATGTTTTCATAAATAGTGGAAGAAGCTGTCATTGAAAACCTGAACTGCCTGGTGACCACTACCGTGAAGGGGGAGGGCAGGCGTAAGGGACGGTGGAGTTGCTTATGGGCACTGGCAGGAGAGCCAGGGCTGGAGAGGAGACCGCAGTCCTCTGACAGGCGGGCACAGAGAAGCCTGGAGCTGAGTGAGGGAACAACTCGGCTCGTGAGAACCGATGTGGCCTTGGGAGCTGCGGAGGAAATCTGGGAGGAGTAGCTCTGGGGAAAAGGGCCGAGGAGAGTCTCGGTGAGGATGGGGGGGAACCAGCAGTTAGCGTAATGGCTATGTCGCTGGACTCCCGCGTAGTCGACCACAGTTCGCGTCCTGGACCTGGTGGCTTAAAACTCACGCCGGGCGCATGTGCGTGCGTGCCCAAGATCCTGAGAGGAGAATGGAGAAGAAGGGATTGCGGCATGGCCATCCCCCTGGGGGGTGATTTCTCGCTTTCTGTCTCTCTGTCTCTGTCTGTCTGGCGAGCGCACGCGCCCTATAGCGAAAACCTCTCAAAAAAAGAAAAAGAAAGAAAAAAAAAGGATGGGGAAGCAGGGAGGTTTCTGAGCCACATGGAAGAGCAGCCACAAGTTTTTTGAGAACAGGGACATCAGAAAGAGAAAAGAAACCCGAAAGCTGGGAGCCGACCTGGCCCACAGCAAGGCCATGGTGTCCTGTCGACCATAAGCGGATTCCCAGAGACGTACTGTTGGGCAAGGCCTCCGTGTGACCGTCACGGCTCAAGACAAGAGACAAGATGGCTCAAGACTGCACAGTCACATCCAGACACAGACAAAACCCGGAGCCCCGCATAACCAGCCCCTACCCTCGCATCCCACCAACTATGATGAAGAGCCCCACTCTCACAGCATCCCGTCCAGAGCAAAGTCCTGCTTTCCGGAGCCCCCTCCAGCTCACCAGACACAAGCCCAAGTCCTAGAAGGAGTCCTTTCTAAGGGCCTCTTGCTGAGCTGCCTCCCAGGCCCCATGGTGTGCATTTTCCCTCACTGCATCCCGCCGAGCCCCCATGGGGGGTGATTTCTCGCTTTCTGTCTCTCTGTCTCTCTCTCTGTCTGTCTGGCGAGTGCACACGCCCTATGGCAAAAACCTCTCAAAAAACAAAAACCAAAACAAATCCTCTGCCACCATTTAATGCCAACAAAGGTATGGCGCTTGAAAACAAAGCAGGAGATAAGACAGACTTGGAGAAAGTCTGATCCCTGAGTTCTGCTCTCCTGAGCGCTTTGTCATGCACACGTCCTGGAGAAGGGGTGGCACAGACTCACAGCGGCTGTCTTTGTCTTGTGTTACCAAGTCAGAATAAAGGGGAGGAAGAGGTGAAAAGGAAAGCTGAAAAAGGGAGGGCCCGGAGGAGGTGGCAGCAGATGAGTCAAGGGCATTGTTACAGGGGTCTGACCTGAATTGAGGAGGTCCTTATCCACGGGCATACGTGCACTTGTGGGTATAGACCTGAAGCAGGGTGACCTATGGCTTCCTTTCCCCTTCCCCAGTGGAGGGTAAAAATAAAATTATTGGCGAAGGAGAGGTGGTGAAGATTGGACAGCTACTGTTCCAGACGAAGAGAGAGCTTGTCAAGAAACACTGTGGGCCCAGCTGAGGCCGGACACCACGATTGTGGAGAAACGTCTGATTTGTTTGCCCAAGTGGAGCTTGGAAGCCCAAGTTTAGCAAAAGGTCAGGCACTTCATAGCGGTGATCTGGGCTTGGGTTTGCCTGGGAGGGGAGATGGTAGCAGTGGAATGAATGGCACAGGAAGTCGAGGAGGAGTTCAGATAAGAAGCTGACTGGCAGGGCAGGAAGAGAGGCAGCAGCGACCTGATAGATAGTGAGGACATGGACAGACCAGGTGTCCATGAGGCCAAAGAAAGGTGCAGTGAGAGAGAAGGTGCCAGAGACTTGGAACGATGGGAGTTCATGACCAGAGACTGGAAAACAGACTATCGACTTCTTTTTATTTGAGAGCGATTTTTGCTTAGGGTCTGTGCATTTGCTGGAAAGACAGAGAGACAGAATGTGAGAAATCACTCCCCAGGGAGTATGGCCATGCTGCAGTCCCTTCTCCTCCATTCTACTCTCGGGATTTGGGGCATGCATGCACATCGAATCCACACATGAGTTTTAAGCTGCTGGGTCCAGGACTCGAACTACAGTCTACTACATGGAAATCCAGCAACATAACCATTACACCATCTGCTGGTCCCAAGGTGATCTACTTCTGCTTGGACTTGAGGCCTTACAAGTTAATGCTCTGATTCATCCAGAGATTAAGCAGATAAAGTTAACCAGGAGTGTCAGGATGTGTACAAATCATGCAGCCTGGTGTGCAGTGTTTCCCCAAAGCGAGGGTATTTAGGTTGGGGGTCTTGGGACCCAGCACGTGGTATCCTTGCAGACCCAGGAGAGATGCTTACCTTGACCGTGTAGATCTGAAAATAGATGGGTTGGGTGCCCATGCGAATATAGTAGGTGATGACATCCAGGATGAAGGGGTCCACAGCTCGGGACGTGTCCAGGCAGGGAGGCTGCGAGGGAGACAGGGAATGTCTTTAGCTGACAGGTTCTTTCAGGTTACTGTGTGGACAGCCATTTTCTTAACAGGAAAATTCCAAAGCCCACATAGACTCTCTGCGATACATTCATCCAGCAGGTCCTTCACTATATTCTCAACCTTGGCTATCACTGGTTTTCCAGTCCTGATTAAAGAATACCTGTCCATGGGAACCAGCAGTTAGCGTAATGGCTATGTCGCTGGACTTCCACGTAGTCGACCGCGGTTTGCGTCCCGGACCCGGTGGCTTAGAACTCAGGCCGGGCGTGTGTGTGTGCATGCCCAAGATCCCGAGAGGAGAATGGAGGAGAAGGGATTGCGGCGTGACCATCCCCCCTGGGGGGTGATTTCTCACTTTCTGTCTCTATGTCTCTCTCTGTCTGTCTGGCAAGCGCACGTGCCCTATAATGAAAACCTCTCAAAAAAAAAAATATATATATATATACACCTGTCCAGAGCCTCATCCCCCCAGGAAATCTGATTTATCCAATTCCACAGAGAAATTGAGTATGCCATGTGGAAGGCACTGTGTTGAATGCTGGGGGCAATGAAAGTCTTGAGAGTATAACTAATAATAAAAGAGCCTGGGTCGGTCATGGCGGTAAGTAACACGATGCTCGGTAGCACAGAACCCACGTGGGAAGGTCCTTGGCTTGTGCCCTGAGCTTCTTGGTGCTGAATGTGAAGGTATGCCCGTGACCTGGGCTGGCTACTTACTAGCCAGGCATCCTTGAGTGAGTTCTTCAAGCTCTTTGAGTTTCCACGTAGGGAAAAGGAGAGGTTGAACCATATGATCTGATAGCTCTTTCAGCTCTGGTGATCTAAAGATCTATTAAGAAACTAGTTAATGTTCGTGTAGTATTGGAAATGAACTTAATGCCTTTGTCCTCCAGGCCCTCCCAGCCCCGTATGATTAGAAAGAATAATGAGTAGGTTTATCAGGCAAACATTATAGAATGTGACAGTGACAGAGTTGGAAAGAAGCTCAGAGTTTATCTCATCCTACAAGTCATATCTAATCCTATAAAATACCTTCTGACTCTCACATCTGGCCTGTTGAAAATTGTTTCCTTCAGATAGCTATGGTGGCCATTAGGATGGGAAAGCTGACAACAGACCTGCAAGTCTAACGTGCACATCTCTAAGTGTATATGCGGCCAAAGAAGAGGAATCCAGAAAGCGGCTGGTGAAAGCAGAGCAGCTCCCCATACATACTGTACCACCTCTCCAATCTAAATACCTTGGCGAGCGGAGCCTGGTCGTTTACAAACAGGCTTCGCGTCCATCCGCACTACAACTGGTTGTTATATTGGCTGGTGCAAGGGTGTTTATACTTCGTGAAAAGTGGGATCATGGATACAGTACAGTTGAGAAAAGATGCATATGTCTATCTGAAGAATCCTCCTTGAGATTTCCTTCTGAAAATGGGAGTGACTACCAGGATTGGTGGGCTTTGTTTCAGCGGGAAAAGGACGTAGGTTCAGAGGATCGCTTATCCACTGGGACTAAGTGACTACCCAGGACTGGTGGGCTTTGTTTCAGCGGGAAAAGGACCTAGGTTCAGAGGATCGCTTATCCACTGGGACTGGCCACATTAGGAGCAACTGTTTGGTAACCAGTTCAGTCAGTTCAGTAATCATTGCAAAGGTAATCAGAATAAAGGCAGCAAATCCAAGTCAGCAAATTTATGAAGCAGTTAGATCATTGTGGACAAAAAGAAACCAGAAAGAGTCACTTCCTGGACCTAAAGAACAAACTAGGCTAGGAAGCTCTGCTGAAACAGAAACACCTGCAGAAACAACTCACACCCTGAAAGACTCAGTGTTTTTGCCAGCAGAACTCAGCTCTGAAATAAAGACCAACTCAGAATCAATCTCAGGTGCCACACAGGTTATGCCTGACCCCAAGCTCATGGATCACGGGCAATCCCATCCGGAAGATGTAGCTACGTCCAGTACTAGAAGCTGAAAACGACTGTATCGAGAACTACAAGATGCGTGAAGCTGCAGATGATGATGAAAAAATCATGTAATGGGTAACTGCCATCTAGAGTATAACTAAAGTTTTTCCATTACATTTTCAAGTGATTAAAATACAAGCTATTAATACAACCCAAATAATATTAAATGATTGATAAGGAGACACAGGTGGAAGTATTAGAATGCATTTGACTTTTAAAGGTCTTGACTAAAAATCAAAACAGAATGAATGAAGCTATAAATACCAATGAGACTGAACTCTGATAATCCCTATGTATATGTATGTATATGGCATACATATATACACACATATATACATATATACATTTATATCTGTTCTGGCTTTTCTGAATTTATGTCAGTTAAATTAGATTGGTGTATGGAAAGATGTGTTTCACTTTTTTATTTCTCAGAGCTGGAATAAAATATCTATATTCTATGGCAAAAAAAGAAATATTGTTTCCTTCAAAATGGTCACATGGAGGGAACCAGCAGTTAGCGTAATAGCTATGTCGCTGGACTCCCACGTAGTCGACCGCGGTCCGCGTCCCGGACCCGGTGGCTTAAAACTCACGCCGGGCGCGTGTGCATGCGTGCCCAAGATCCCGAGAGAATGGAGGAGAAGGGATTGCGGCGTGACCATCCCCCCTGGGGGGTGATTTCTTGCTTTCTGTCTCTATGTCTCTCTCTGTCTGTCTGGCGAGCGCACGCGCCTTATAGTGAAAAACCTCTCCAAAAAAAAAAATGGTCACATGGAGGAATCATGAACTTATTACAATAATGTGATCCTTGTTCACAGTATTTCCAGTCTCTTCCATGTGAAACTGCTTTTGGAGTAAGCATAAAGGCCATTATAAATTGTTCATTCCAAGAGGAAGGGAACTAGGGAACAAACAAAATCTTACATGTGTCTCTGCAGGAAAAAAAAAAATCTAACAGCAAAGGAGTACCAATGAGACTTGCATCAAATGTTCCTTTTGTACGATCTTCCAAATTTTAAGGTAAGGGTATTTTGATACCCAACTAAATGGACCTCTGTGTATATGCAAAGACATTTTCAGGTAAGGTATAACTCAGAAAATATGCACTCCTTCCCCAAATACCTTTATTTGAATCAAATATATAAGAAAACATCCCAATTAGCTAAGTGATAAAACAAGATGGAGAACTCAGTAAAGCAGCAAGTTAAAAAAGAAATATGGGGACTGCAGGTGGTATGGTGGTTGGGGCACTGGACTTCCACATGGCCGACTGTGGTTTGAGTCCTGGACCTGGAGGCTTGCTTTCTCATTTTCCCTTTCTTTCTCTCTGGTCAAAAAGAAAATAATAATAGTAATAGCAAATAAAATTAAATAATTAACTCTTAAAAATAAATATGAAAAAGAGTGAGTTTTGTGCTATGTGTTTTTTTTACCATGATTTTGAAAAACTTAAATAAATAATCGAATAGGTAAAAATCAATAACTTCCTCTTATACGAGCCATAGTTATTACTTGAGGGACTAGCAGATGGCATGACGGTTATGTCGCTGGACTCCCACATGGCTGACCATGGTTTGAGTCTCGGACCCAGCGGCTTAAAACTCACATTGGGCACATGTGTATGAGTGCCCAAAATCCCGAGAGGAGAGTGGAGGAGAAGGGATTATGGCATGGCCTTTCCCCTTAGGAGATGATTTCTCACTTTCTGCCTCTGTCTCTGGCGAGCACACATGCCTAATCTCTCTAAAAAACGTAGTTACTACTCAAATATAATGGGAGAAAGATACCATCCACAACAGAAACAGTATCAAACACGAGTAAATTCCACAAGAAATGGGTAAAAGTTAGATGGTAAAACCCTGGACAATTATCCTGAGGATATGCAGTAACACTTTAGTAAATGAAGAGCTCTCTGTGCTCACAGCCAGAAAAACTCAATATACTGAAGATACTAATTCTCCTCCAAGTTTCAGTCAAAATCCCAACAGAATTTTAAAAAACCCAAAACATGAAATGAAATTCTAAAGTTTATCAAGAAAGATAAGAAACAAGCATAGTCCGATTTAAAAAACAAAACAAAACAAAACAAAACAAAAAACAAACAAGTAATGAGGTAGGTTTACCTTGCCTGATATTAAAATATAGACGTGCTCATTTGTACAGAAATGAATAGATCAATGAGAGAAAATAGATATCCAGAAATAAACTGAAGCATATGTAAGAATTTAGTAAATGGCAAAAAGAGTGGCATTTCAGACTGATGAGGCAAGATGGCTTATGCAATAAATAGCTTGAGGACAACTGGCTAAACATTTGGAAAAAATAAAATTTCAGACTTCATGCTAAACGCTAAAATGAATTGCAGATGGGCTAATGATTTAAATGTACAAACTGAGACACTAAATTTGTTAGAGCAAATCATCAGCGAATATTTATTTAATCTTGGCATGAAGAAAGCCTTTCAAAGCATGACTCCAAAGGCAGACACCAGAAACGTGCTATGTCTACATGAAAATATTAAGCTTCTGCAAGTCAAAAAAACTGGTAAGTGATTTACGAAGTGGAAAAAAAATGTCTACAACATTTATGATGGCAAAGGATAAAATTCCCTGGATATAAAAAGCCTTTTCAGGGATCAGCTGATGGTGTACTGGTGACATTGCCGGACCCCACATAGTCAACTGTGGTTTGAGTCCCAGGCCTGGCAGCTTAAAACTCATGCTAGGCACGTGTGTGTGTGTGTGTGTGTGTGTGTGTGTGTGTGTGCCTAGGATCCCGAGAGGAGAATAGAGCAGAAGGGATTGCGGCGTGGCCATCCTCCCTGGGGGGTGATTTCTCACTTTCTGTCTCTCTGTCTCTCGGTAAGCACATAAGCCCTATAGCAAAACAAAACAAAACAAAACAAAAAACCAATAAGTAAATAAATAAATAAACTATCTTAAAAAAAAAAAAGAAAAAAAAAAGAAAGAAAGAAAAGAAAGAGGGACCAGCAGTTGGCGTAATGGTTGTCACTGGACTCCCATGAAATCAACCGCATTCGAATCCTGGACCCAGCGGCTTAAACTCACGCTAGGCTCATGTGCGTGCGTGCCCAAGATCCTGAGAGGAGAATGGAGGAGAAGGGATTGCAGAGTGGCCATCCCCCCGGGGGGTGATTTCTCGCTTTCTGTCTCTCTCTTTCTTTCTGGCGAGCGCATGTGCCCTATAGCAAAAAGAAAAGAAAAAGCCTTTCCAGATTAGTAAAAGACAAGTTCCCTCCCACAGCCAGCTGTGGTAGGCCAGGGTGTGGCACTGCGATTTGCAGTTAGGAGACAGCGCTCTGGAGTCAAGCTGCCTAGGGCCCAGTGGGACTCTGCCCTTTGAGCGAGTTATCATCTCTTTGGGCCCCAGCTGCTTGATCTGTGAAGGGGGGCGAGGGCAACAATAGCACCTGTGGGGAAGAGCACCTACCTGCCAGGGCCGCTGTGAAGATTAAATGAGCTATTCCCCTCGGGGGAGTGCTTAGACAGTGCCCAGCGCTCAGCAAGTGCTCAGGAAACATCAGCTGGTACTGTCACAGGGAAATGGTCGGAGGAAACACACAATAGAAGGAACACCGGCCGGCCAATGGCATGAGTGGCTAAGGTGCTGGATCCCACATGGCAGACTGTGCGGTTCAAGTCCCAGACCTGACAGCCAGAGAACTATATTAGGCACATGTACGTGCCGGAAATCCCAAGAGGAGAATGGAGGAAGGGGGATTGAGGTGTGGCCATGACCCCAGGGGTGCTCTCTCACTTCCTCTCTTCCTCTCTCTCTCTAGCAAGTGCACATGGTCTATAGCAAATTAAAAGAAGGAGAAGAAGAAGAAGATGAAAAAGAAGAAGAAACACAATTGGCCTACACACTTAGGAAATAATATTTTGCTTCATCTTTTTTTGCTATGGGGCCTGTGCACTCATCAGAGAGGGAAAGTGAGAAGTGAGCTGCCAGGTCTGAGACTCGAACAACAATCCAGCGCCCTAACCACCATGCTACCTGCTGGCCCCAGGACTCCTCTCTTGTGTATTTCCTTCCAGTCCTGTTCCACCGCTGGGCATCCCTGAGACTGATGCTTGCAGTCCAAGGTCAAGTGCAATATCTGAAATGATTCCACCTCCTCTGCCCAGACCCCGTGCCCCTCCCTCCTTCCTGCCCCTACCATCTGAGCCAGCTTGTGGATGGCGGGGCACAGAGTGTTCACGGTGCTCTCGTACCAAGGATCCGCGCGTCCCAGGAACGTAGCCAGCTCTCCCAGCTCAGGATGCCTGGAGGTCACGGACTCCTGGGGATAAAGGGAAGGGCCAGACCCATCAGGCCTGCCCTGGCACTCTGCCTGGTCAGAGGGGCCCCAGGTGCCAGCAGCCTATGCCCTCTTGGGGGCTCAATTTCTGCCCAGTGAAGACCCATCACTGCTGTGTTATAAATCAGACAAAGCTGGAATACCCTTTGTTGAGGGCCTCTCACAAGGGACGTTGAAACTGCTCACGAGCCCACGAGGAAAGACAGGTAGTTTGACCGAGTTGTTCCCCAATAAGAAGTGGGTGTGCAATAGGTTAAAATCTGCAAGTGCGGCTGGATCTCCAGAAGGTCAAGGGGCTTCCACGGCCAGAAATGGCCTTTTATGTGAGGGGGGATCGACGTGGAGGAGGAAGAGAAAGAGGAAGTGAGAGAGAGAGAGAGAGAGAGACCCGTGTTTGCAGCGAAGCTGGCAATGAAAATCCATTACAAAAACAAGATAAGAGGGGGCCCGGCAGGGGGGGCGGCAGGCGGTGTGGTGGTTTAAGGGTGCAAGACTCCCACGTCAAATGGCTGACCGCTATTTGAGTCCTGGGCCTGGCGGCTTGCTTTCTTTCTCACTTTCTCTCTCACTCTGTCCCTCTCTGGTCAAATTAAAATAAATAAGTAAATAAAGTTAAATAAAATAATTCTTTTAAAAAAAGAAAAAAAAACCCAACAAGATAAGAGACAGCAGAAGGCAGTCTGATACATTCAGCACTTAGTCCGGCCATCTGCAGCTTCTGGAACAAAAGGCCCCTGGGATCCCCTCCTG